TCCTTGTGAGGTCCTTCAAGAACCCTCTCCTTTCTCCTTAGTCTCCAGAGAGGCAGGTAGAGCTGGCCCTGATCCCAGCACCAGATGGGGACCCAGTAGGGGGAGTCAGACTAGAAGCAGCTGTCCTCCAGGGCACAGACAGACCTGAAGCAGGGGGGATGGGGGTGTCCCAGTGCTGTGGAGTGCAGAAGATGGGATGGTGCATTGGGGTGGGGGGGCAAGTGGGCGGGCCTGCCAGGGGAGAAGAGTGACAGCACCAACTACCAATAGCGGCACGTCAGCCTAAAATGTAGCTCTTTGGATGTTACTTCTGCCTATTGCGCAGAGGAGGAAAAGAGTCTGAGTGGGACAGGGGACAGATTGGAGGCCACATTCTGCAGAGACTACTCCCTGCTCCAGTCTGTGGTATTTAAAGTAGGTTTAGAAGAAGCAAAATATACCCCTTCCCTGCCTGACCCTGACCCTGGAGAGATGAGGGAGGGGCCTTGGAAACCCTTTGGTTCCTTCCCTTTATTTATTATTTTATTTTTATTTTATGTGTATGAGTGTTACGCCTGCATGTGTGTGCCTATAGAGGACAGAAGAGGGTGTTGGATCGCCTGGAACTGGAGTTACAGATGGTTGTTGGCCACCATGTAGGTGCTGGGATTCGAACCTGGATCTTCTGCAAGAACAGCCAGTGCTCTTAACTAGAGATAGCCAGGGCTATCTCTCCAGCCCCAGCCCCTTCCTTTTAAACAGCTGGGCTCACCCCAGCCCTGGCATCTGCTGTTACCTAATCCACTCACAGATGCTCCATACCCACATACCTTCAGTGCCAGTCTTATGCCTAAGTCTCCATGTGGGGCAGGGGCAGAATGCCAAGGGAACAAGGATCCAAGTCTGCACAGCAACCACCAGGCAAAACCGACTTCACAAGAAACAACCATTACTCCACTGCCACCCACTGGCACAACTGCTCAGCACCTGCCACTGACCTGGACAGAGTGAGGGTGGCCAGAGCCTTGAAGACAGCAGAGCTGGGTTTGGAGAGGCCCCTCCCAGACCCAAGACTCAGGGTTGGGAAGGCCCGTGAAGGCCTACTCTGCCACTAGCTACCCCCTGCAGGAAGCCACCAGTCCCCATCTGGAGGGGGCAACTGGGGTGGGTTGCTGAGCAAGTCTTGGGAGGGGACAGACATAGATAGTTCATGTTGATAATCTCAGAACTCAGGAAGTTGAGACAAAAGGATCAGGAATTTGAGGTTAGCCTGGACCACTGAGTGAGATCTTATCTCAGAAAACAAACCAACATATGGGAGGAGCTTAGGAGGCCTCACCTCTCATTGAGGAGTTACTGCTGTCTCAGAAGGAGACTCACTTCTCTTTAGGGGGTTGTAGTCACTGTTAGTTTGCCCAGGCTGCAGTGGATGATTCCACACCCATGGGATTCCACACCCATGCCATTAGTACGGACAGTACTAATGGACTCAGCGGGTTATAAAAGAAAAAAAAAGACAGAAAAAACAAGAAAGAATAGGTCCATGAAGTTGGGGGATGGATACATTGAAGGGTGTCTGGGAGAGTTGGAGGTGGGAAGTAGGGGGTAGATATGATTAAAATGCGTTATCAGACATGGTGGTGCACTCCTTTAATCCCAGCACTCAGGAGATCTCTAAGAGTTTGAGCCCAGCCTGTTCTACATAATGAGTTCCAGGCCAGCCGGGTTGAATGGTGTATATAAATCCAAGCCAAAACAAAACAAAAAGTTCGAATCAAAAAGGTCCTATCTGGCAGTGGCAGACCCAGGTAGTCAGTGGATGGGAGTGTCTCACAAGCTGGAAACAACCTGTGCCTGACTGGGCTGGGTTGTGCCTCCTTGTTCCCTAGTTTCATGGGGCAGGGCTTCAAGGCCAGATGGCCTAACCCCACTGCAGTTGTTATAGACACAGCACACTTCCAAATGACATTCGCAGCACATTTTTTGTGGGGGTAAGAGAGAATGAGGGAGGGAGGGACTGTGTCCTTAAGCAAAGCACAAGCACCCCAGGGCCTCATCTAGGGCAAGAGCACAGACAGTTCAGCCCTGGTTCAGGAGGGCCAGCTCTGCCGCCTGAAGCTCCCAACAAAGTCACTCTCCGCCCTCCTCTGCATTGTGCTGATTGTGCCCCTGGTCCTCATCAGGTGCTAAAGTAGACACTGAGATGACAGGGGTACAACAGGGAATGTGGTCCTGTTCTAGGAGGCGAGCAGGCCATGAACAGGTGCATCAAGCTGGTGATGAACTGTGGGCTGGAGTGGAGTGGGGTGTTTGGAGTACAGGGTTGGGATGTCATTCATGTTGTATAAGTGGCCAGGGACAATCTCTCAAGAAAATAGTAGGGAGCAGGGCAAGCTGTGGGCGTCTGTGAGCAGAAAGATTCAGATAAAAACAAACAAAAAACTGCAGGTTTGGCTTGATTGAGAACAGGGGATGAGCTTAGGAGAGTGGGAAGAGATGGGGGCGTGTCAGGAAAGTGGATTGGGCTGACCCAGATCCAACAGTTGGGACCATAGATGACCCATCAGATGTTGAAGCTATTAGACTGGGGGTGTAGCTCAGATGGACTGCTTGAGGCCCTGGGTTCAAACCCCAGCACCATCAAAATACAGTTGAAAATATTGCAAGTTGAAAATGCATTTAACTTCACTTAGACTAGACTGCCTTCAATGTGCTCAAAATATATACATTAGTCTATAAGGCTAGTGAATGCAAGGCCCATTTTATCTGTGTGTATGTGTGTGTGTGAAGGGGGTGTGTACTGTGTAGGTGTGTGCCTGTTGTGGCTAGAAGCTGACCTTGAATGTCTTCCTCTAATCACTCTCCAGTTAGTTTCTGAGACTGGGTCTCTCACTGAACCTGAAGTTCACTGATTGGCTATCCTGACTGGCCATCCAATCCCAAGGATCTGTCTGCCTCTACCACCCAGTACTGAGTTAGCAAGCACATGCAGCCAAGCCCGGCTTTTACATGGGTGTTGGGGATTCAAGGTCAGGTCCTCATGGTTGTGTGGCAAGCATCTTACCCACGGAGCCATCTCCACAGCCCACAAGCCTGTCACCATGTGTGAAACCTACATATTGGAAGTGTTCTGTGGGTTCATGTTGCAGCAAGATAAAGTCAGAAATTCTAAGGTGAGCCATCAGAGAGACACAGGAGACTGTGTCTAAAACCAAAGGTGACAAGTACCGAAGTCTCATCACTTCCTAGTTATTTTCCTGCACTGTACATGTTATCTGTATGGTAGAGAGTGGTGTGTGGGTGCCATCCCAGCTCTCTTTGAAATTCCAAGTTTAGGAAACTTGAGATAGGGTACTGCAGAAATCTATGACTTTCTCTGTGTGTGTGTGTGTGTGTGTGTGTGCGTGTGTGCATGTGTGTACGTGTGTGTGTGTGTATTGTAATACTGAGCTCAAGGCACGGAAGAATACATAGTGATGGCTGAGTTAGGAGTCCTTTATTAGCTGGCAGTCAAGAGGGGGCTAACACCCGGAAGAACTTTCAACCCTAAGGAGAGCAAGGCTTATAAAGCCTAAAACCACAATTATATCATTCCAGGGCAAAGCCAATAACCATGGTCACACCAGACCAGGGGTGGGTCAGTTAACAAAGAGATTTTCAGTCAACAAAAAGTTTCTAAGTTTTGGTTTGGAAAAACAAGTTTCTCAGAATCGCAGAAACAATGGACTCTGTGGGAATGCAGGTGTAGCTGGACGGAAGGGTGTTCTGCCTCGCCGGTTGTAAATTTCTCAGCAGTGTAGAAACAATGACTCCCCCCCTGAAATGCAGGTGCAGGCTTCATTGCCAGTCTGCCTGACTGACTGCAACTGGAGCAGGGAGCAGAGACACAGGGTGAGCAGAAGTCAGCCAGAATAAAATGGAGTCAGTTTCGCCACTTCATATATGTGTATGTGTTTATTTATATAAGCATATAATAAATATACATTATATAATATAAATACATCAAATATATTTATATGATTTTAAAATTTTTTTTAAATATATTTATATAATATAAATATGTAAAAAATATTTTTATATATTTGAGTAATGGTCTCATGTAACCCAGGCTGGCCTTGATCTCATTGTGTAGCTGAGGCTAACCTTGAACTCCTGATCGTCCTGCCTCTACCTCCCTAGTGCTGGAGCTACAGGAATTCATCCTACCTGGCTTACGGGGTGTAGGGGATGAACCCAGACTTCATGCATGCTAGGGCAAGCACCCTGCCTGCTGAGCATCTGCACAATTGTTTTCTGGATCGTCCAGGACTTAAAGTGATAGAGGTGAATTGCACAGATGAACTGGATGGCGTGTCATGTGTGGAACTTACATCCGGGTTAGCGTGAAAACACAGGAGAATCCTTCAACATTGACTACAAAGTTGCTCATGTCCTTGTCAGGGAAGTGACTGTGGGTGTGCACCCTGGTTTCACTTTTACCTGACTCCGGAACTCAGACGCACTCAGGCTGCCCATCGCACTCAGTGACAATAGCTTTAGTGTGGAGATAATAATAAGGTTGGCTTACAATGACTTTGTCAAATCTTGTGGGCTGCAGCCACAGGCTACAGTGACAAAGCAAGAAATGGTCTGTATGGACTTTGCAAGGTGTTCGTCAATAAGGAGTAGCACAGTGTGAGAACTGCATGATCACATCATTCATGTTAGTAAAATTTATAATAGATGTGTATGTACACCTCCAGTACACTGCAGTCTGCAGTCAGGAGGTGGGGCAGCAAAGGGCAAACTGAGGGAGAGCAAGAAGAGCCTGGGGGCCTGCAGTCAAGTGGGATGTGTGACAGTCAGTCAGTGTGTGGGAGAAGAGAAAGGGTGCCAGGTCTGGGGGTAGGGAAGGAAGGCTAGGCCTGGTGGCAAGGTCCCACAAACATGGGGGAGGCTTGGGGGGCTCCGCTCCAAGGAGCTGTCCTGTAAATGGCACCTAAGACATTGGGGTGGGAAGGAGGTGAGCACTGGTTCTTAGAATGGGTGACATCTACAACTCAGGTGAGAGGGAGAAGGGGAGGTAGGGCCGATGCCCCTGGTCCAGGCCAGGACAGATTTGGATGGGGCATAGAGGTAAGGGCAGGAAGGAGGTGCCCTGCTCTAGAGGAGCGGGGAAGGTGAGCAATGACTTCCCTGGAGAAGGGGGGATGTAGAGAGAGAGAGGTGAGAGAGACCAACAGTTGGACAGAGTCAAAGGTTGCTAGAGATAGGCTGGAGAGATGGTTCGGCTGTTAAGAGCACTGGCTGCTCTTGCAGAAGACCCAGGTTTGATTCCCAGCACCCACATGGTGGCTAATACCATCCATAATTCCAGTTCCAGGGGCTCCAACGCCCACTTCTGATCTCCGAGTGCATTGTACAACATAGGTACACTTACATACATGCAGGCAATACGCTCATACACATAAAAAAAATAAGCTGGGCGTGGTGGCTCACACCTTTAATCCCAGCACTTGGGAGGTAGAGGCAGGCAGATCTCTGTGAGTTCAAGGCCAGCCTGGTCTACATAAGGAGTTCCAGGTCAGCTGGGCTACAGGGAGACCCTGTCTCAAAAAGACCAATAATAATAATAATAATTTTTTTTAAAATAAAAGGTCACTAGAGGGTGAGTGGCCACAGATCCAGGTGAACTCTGGTCACCAGTGTATACAGAAGCAGGACAGGGAGTTGGCCTTGACTGCCCTGGAACTGGGCTAGGCAGTGTGGCTGAGGGAAAGCTGAGCCAAATTCTTAAGAACAGGGTCAAGGAGTGGTGGGTGTCCCAGGACCCAAGCTGTGAAGGGAAGAGGGTGGGAAGAGAGAGGCCAAAAGGGGCACTTGCAAAGCTCCCAGGGCATTGAGGCCTGGCGTGGGTATGCTGGGATTCAGCAGAAGTCCCAGTGGGTGCTGACAGGACAATTTGCAGTGGGCTGGTCCTTGGTAATGACAGTGTGGAATCTTCGAGATGCCTGAGGCCAGGAAGAGGGGGCTGCACTGGGAGAAGGGGGCAGGGTTCAAGGGTTCTAATGCCACTGGCCACAATTAAAACCTGAGAACAGTGACCTGCTGAGTGTTGGTAGCTGGCACCCTCCAGGAGCAAGGTCAGTGTGATGGCCAATGGGAAGTGGGCCTTGTAGATGGTGATGTCTGAACAACTCAATTCAGGGACTAGGATGTAGTTCAGTTGGTAGAGTGATTGCCTATCATGCACTGAGTCATGAGTTCAATCCCCAACACCACATTAACTGAGGGGTGGAGGGGTACATGCCTAGATTCAATCCCAGTACTCAGGATGTGGCGGCAGGAGGATCAGGAATTCAAGGTTATCCTTGGCTTACATAGTGAGTTTAAGGCTAGCCTGGGACACATAAGATCCTGTTAAAAAACAAACAAACAAAACAAAACAAAAACAAAAAGTTCAATACAAAGCTGGGGCTCATGGACTGAAGAGAGATGGAAGGAAGGGACAGTGGGGGTGGGCAAGGAGGACCTGGGGCCCTGGGGCCGGCAGGAGGGTTGGCCCCTAGTCATAGGGAAGTATGGCCACTGTGGGAACAGGTCAGTCCTTGGTGGTCAAGGAGGCTCTGAGATCAAAAGATGGCCCCTGGAAGGGATAGAGGGGATGAGATGCAGTTTGAGGTTTCCATGATGACACATGTACCAAGTGATGGAGGTTATGGAGGGGGGGATGTCTGTGGGCTCTGGGAACTCCTCTCTCGTCCTGCCTCATCTATAGAGTGGAACTGTGGTAGGCCATAGGGTCTTGTGAATGTGGAAACTGTGACCACCATCACTATTTTCAATGGAGACGGTAGTTTGATGGGGACAAAGTGACCATGGAGGGAGTTGTGAGAGGGTTCAGTTTTTTTCCAGAGATTTTAATACTTGAGTGGGTTTTCCGGGGTCCAAGAAAGAGTAGAGGCAGGATATGGTAAAGCCCTTCCCGTCTCCCAGCATGTCTGTGTAGTCAGGTGGATCTGGCTTCAGTGGCCTCATCAGCCATGGGACACTGTCTGACAAGTGTCCCCTGAGCTGTCTGACAAGTGGGGAGGGACAACTTGCCAGCATGTGGCTCCCTCCTCTGTTGTCCCCCTCAGGGCAGAGCTCCCTGAGTCTGCCAATCTAAAGCTGTGGTCCTAGAAGGCTGTTCCGCAGGCAGGAGGCCCAGCAGACTGAGGGCTCTCCCAACCCCTCTGGGGTTTCAGTTGGGTGTGATGTGTCAGGTGGACCGAGAGGAGCTGCCTTGGGGTGGGACCCGGATCCATGGGTGCTGCTGCCCCACTCCAGTGCAGATAGGGCTGTGAACACTTGTAGGTTTGCAGAGAGAGTGACTGCATCCAATTCTGTCCATGTGTCTACTGAGCTCTGGTGCTCTGCACACACTCAGAGGACCCAGTGTCGAGCTGGACACACCAACTGCCCTTTGGAGCTGAGCCATCAGGACAGATGGGCATTATTAACAGGCATGGTTAATCAAAGCAGGGAAGAGAAAGGGTGGATAGGCAGGAGGTGGCAGGGCACAGCCTTATCTGGAGGGATGGGGAGGTGTCTTAGTTTTTTGTTCTCTTGCTGAGTTAAAATACCCTGACAAAGTAGCTTAAGGAAGGAGGGGTTTATTCCGGCTCACAGCTCAAGGTACAGTCCATCCTGCAGGGAGGTTAAGGCAGCAGGAGCTTGAAGCAGCCAGTTACATGTCCAGGGTCAGAAGAAAGTAATTAGTGCATGCTACTGTTCAGCCCCTCTCTCCATGTGTACAGTCCAAGATCCCTTGGCTCATGATCTTACTCACAATTCACATGGATCTTCTACATCAATTAGTGTATTACGTTTTTTAAATGTGTGTGTGTGGGGGGGATATACGTGACGGTCACAGGACAACTTTCAGGAGTCAGTTCTCCTTCAATCATGTAGGTCCAGGAGATCAAACTCAGGCCATCAGGCTTGGTGGCAAGCACCTTTACCCACTGAGCCATCTTGTCCATCCATGTACATCAATTAATGCAATTAAGATAATCCCTTACAGGCATGCTCTGAGACCCAGGCTCCCAGATGATTCTAGAGTCTGTCAAGTTGCCAACTAACACTAACCATCTTGGGGTATGTGGGGGGGGTGTTGTTGAAAAGGTGACATTTAAGCAGCATTCTGAAGTCTGAAGGAGTGAGCCTCATGGGTGTCTGGAGAAGAACATTCAGCTGTGCAAAGGTCCTGGCATGAGGCAGCATGACCTGGTGTTCTTCATAGACAAGCAGGAAAATCCACAGGGCTGGAGCAAAGTGAGACTTAGAGGTGGGGCCCAGCTATTAGGGGTGCCTTTTCAACAGCTGACACTCCAGCCTCTACCTCATGTGGCCACTCTCCTAAGTCCCTTGATCTCTCCCTCCCTCTCCTCAGTGATGTGCCTAGGGGCACCAAGACCTTTGGGGTCTCTGGGAGCTCGGAGGTGAAGGTCTTTATGCTCTACAATCCTGCAAGGGTGGCAGAGCCTGCAGGCCGGGCCCATTGGCCCCTGGACGCCAATGTGGATGTGGTTGTGTCCGTGGACATGGCCAGTAAGGAGTTAAATGACCTCAAGGTAAGACCCATCTCCTCAGAGAAAAGGACTGGTTCTTCCACCCAGGTAAGAGCCACCCCCATATGACACTCAGTCATATCAGCCCATGAAACGAAACCCCACAGAGCTGCTTAAACCCCCTCCTCTCTAATCATCCTGACACATCTCCATAGACATTCTGACACATCTCCATAGACACTCTGACCCACTCTGTCCACACTAGCATCCCAATACCACGTGGCACACAGGAACATCCTGGTCACCTCTCAGATCTACAAACATAGCTGTACCCATGTGTGCTAGTGCAGGCTACCCCTCTGATACCCAGCCAGGATGACAACATCTCTTTGCTGGGCTTTGACATCTCCCATACACAGTATCCCCTGAATGGCTGCCCCAGTGCGTTCTCTGACCTGGGACAAGTTAGGGCGTATGTGCGACCTCTGCACATGACTATGGGCAGGGCCCGACCTTCTCAGGAGGGTGTCCTGTCACCTGGAGGAAGAAGGGCATGGAGGGGAGTGTGGTCTGGACCTTGGCAAAAGCCCTGACTCCAACTTTAGTTATTGGGCTGGGCAGTTTTCCCTCTGTGCAGAGGACAAGCAGGGCCTAAGCCAGTGGGGACAGCAGCCCTTCTCTGTCTGTCCCTCCCACAAGCTCCTGGAGTCTCCCATGTCCCTCTGTCACCCTCCTTCCTCAAACTGTTTGGGGCTCCAGGCAGCACAGTGGCCCACAGTCAGGGAACAGCTTTGTCTCCATGCTGGGCTCATAGCCTTGGGCCTCAAAGCAGGGCTAGGTGTGGTCTTGTGTCCATCTCTTAGGACTGACTTCCTTCCCCAGGTGAAGGTGTCATACTTCGGGCCACAGGAAACTGATGCCCTGGGCCACAGCGTGCTATACCTCACAGGTGTCGGTGAGTCCTGCCTCTGGCTGGCTGTGGACGCGATGGCTATTGGAACATGGTGGTCATGACTGATGAGGAACATCTGGAGGGGAAGGCCTCAGCCAGCTGCTTCCACCCCAGGCGCTCCCAACCTCCCCAGGACCACAGAGATTGAGACCCAGCCATGCTTAGGGCTCAGGGTCTTGAAATGTCACTATCACCAGCTTGAGCCACAGAAGCCTCCTCATCCGGAATCCCATGTGTGTCCTGAACCTCCAGGACCCAGCCTAGAACCATTGACAGCCACATGCCCCCTTCAGCAAGAGCCCAGGGCACCCCTCTGAGGATGACAGACCCTGAGGATGGGTCTCCAGGGGCCGTGGTTAAGGGCCCTGAATATGTGACCTAGAAACCCAGGGACACCATTTCATCATTTAATATTCAAGTCAACCACCCAATACATAAGGCTAAGTCAGGAATTTCTAGAGCCAGAAACCTGGATCTCTCTAACCCCAGAACTACAAGAGTCAACCTAGCTAGAGCCCCAGGGCCAGCGCATGGACTCCCAAGTGTTGAATTTCCCAAACTGGGCTTCTGGGTTCTCATAGGCTGGATTGGGGGCCAAGATGGCCAGGTCTGGCATCAGGTCTGGTGTGGAGATAAATGTTCTGGTTATCACGGGTGTAGACAGGTGGCCTGGCATCAGGGGTGTAGACAAGTGGTCTGGCATCACAGGTGTAGACAGGTGCCCTAGCATCATGGGTATAGAACAGTGATGGATTTGTCCTTTACAGATATTTCCCTCGATGCTGACACAGGCCGCACAGGCAGGGTGAAAAGAAGCCCAGGTAACAAGGTGAGCCCCTTGCTGCCCCAAGAATGTAGGGGTAACAGGTAGACATGGGGGAGTCTCAGGGGCAGAGGGTTTTGCTTCTCAAAGGGCGATCAATTCCAGGGTCTGTAGTATCTGACCAATCCATGGAAAGATGGCCGAATTGGCTTGAGTGAGCATTAACTTACACCTGTGACTGGCATGCTGTGTGATTGTTGAAGAACAGCTTACCCTCTCTGGTCTGTCTTTTTCTGCTTGCTGCCTTTTCTATTTGGGGGGTTCTAAACATGGGGAGTACTTCATGAAAGGTTGTTGAGTGACTGAATGACCTCCTTCTGGTAGTGGGGACTATGGGAGTCAGCTACAGCTAAGCTCTGCAAGGGTGAAGAGGAGAATGGAGTAGGTTCAAGATCTTGCTGCATAGAAAGCATCTAGAAGCTGTCTTGGAAGGGCTGGAAGGTATAATTTGTAGGGAGAGACCTCAGGGAGGCAGCCTGGGCCTCAAGGCTGGGGCAGCTGCCCGGATGGCTGTGTGGGTTGCTTACTGCACAAGGGTGCTTGCGGGAGGTAGGAGGTGGAAGCTAAGTGCAAATCTTGGGTCCTGGCACAGGGTGGCATCTGCCTAGATGGGGTGACAAGTGTGCCACAGAGGCAGGCGGTGGCCCTGTGCTATCTCAGATACCTGGCCGGACCTGAAGATCAGCTGTGCAGTTGAAGGATCCCCTTCCACAACTTCATTTTGCTCTTTTGGAAAATGGGGATAAGGTGGTGTGTTGGGAACAGTGGTAATTGCAGAGTCAGGCAGCTTGACCTGTAGGACCCCAGTGGATGTTAGGCCCAGGAGAATGCTGGGATGGGAGAGTTTTCCTGGTGGAGGCCAGGGTGGGGCAGCATCTGCCTCTCAACCAGGGCCAAAGCTTGACCGTTCCCAGCTGTGGTAGCAAAGCCCCGTCCCTAGTCCCTCCTTAAATCTTTTTTTTAAAAAATATTTCATTTATTATTTTTATTTTATGTGTACAAGTGTATTGCCTGCATGTATGTGAGTGCACCCACATTGTGCAATGCCTCGGAGGTCAGAAGAGGG